AACTACCCCGCGGAAACTTTGGTTGGCCCATGGTTACCGAATTTAAATCCAAAAACACCGAACCTATAAATTAAAAATCTTGTAATGGTAATTTTTAATTAAATATTTGGATCAAAAAAACCCAACCCCCCCCCCCCAAAGAAAACCCCAACTCAGAACTGGACCAAAAAAAAGGACACAACATATATACTTCTCAGAATCCAGAACCCAGAAAGAAGATACGGACCAACGCCAGCTTCCTGTATTAAAGAAATAGATGCTAGCTGCAGAGCGTAAACAGCATAGGGAGTGAAAGGGGAATTCAAACGATGTATATGCGCAAGACAGAATGAGGATATGACGGGCAGTTGATGAGGGGAGAGAGAAGAACACAGAAGAGAATTCATGAAGAACAAGAAAACATTGCGAAACAGCAGGTTTATCATCTTTCAATCCAAAGCTCCAAGTATGTTCCCTCAATCAGGTACGGTATCACGGAACCTAAATAAAGACAGGCAACGAGCGTGAACAGAACTGGTTTCGTGGTAGTCATTGTCGATGTGGATATCAGAAAGTGGATGTCGTCCTCAATGCGCTAGTCCGCGTGAAGCCATTTGAGGGTAACCCGCTCCGTTGAACTGGTCCTGTTGGACGGGATCGATTGCTCTCTCGAGACCAGCTGGAAGTTCGAGTTAGCGGTGCTGTTCAATGTGAGACGAGGATGAGAGGGATTCTTACATCCTTACTGCATTATCGTCGCCTGCAGATGCGAACATTCCCGGGTCTGCTGGGTTCCATGATATTGAGTTCACGCATCCGGAGATATGCCCCTCCAGAGTCTCTACGATGTTGCCATTTTCTTTGTGCCAGATGTAGACTTTCGAGTCTGGAGATAGTTAGCAGCGATACCAGAAATGACATTTTGAGGCACTCACCTTCACTTCCGCTGACGACAAAATTCTCGGCTGCTCCTCCGAACGTGCTGCGAATCACGAACTCACCTTGCTTCTGTCCCTTGAACTGTCGGACAAGCGCAGTGGTTTCCATGTCAACTAGTTGGATCTCGCCCTCAGCCAGATTAATAAGCACATGCCGCGAGTCTTTGCTGATAGCAACCGAGGTCGGTTTGCTCGGCAGTGGGAGACAGTAGTCTTCTTCATATGTAAGCATGTTGTACACATGAATCTTCTCTTCTGTGTCGGCAGCGACAAGGCGTCGTCCATCAGGGCTAATGGCACAGTCCTGTACACGGAATCCGCCTTTCCACGTGTATAGAGACTGACCGCGCATGCTCCAGTGACGGAGCTGTGATTCGGCATCGAGAGAGGCTGTCACAAAAGATTCACCATCTGGTGCCCAGGCAGCTGCAGTCACCGGTTGACGGTGGTGGTTGATGGTGAGCAGACAACGACCGCTCTAAACCATGCACAGCCCGAGTTAGTATATCATTATGGATTTACATGAGATTTAAGGAATCATTACCTCAACGCTCCATACGCGTGCCTTCTTATCTTGCGAGCAAGTAATTAGTTTTGAGTCATCTGGACTCCAACTGGCAAACGCAACTCCGTCCTCGTGTTCCGTGAGTCTGTGAAGAACACTGAAGTCGGCTGTGTTGTAGATCAGCACGTTATGGTCCTTGCCCGCAGTAACCAGCTTAGATCCATCGTGAGAAAACTCGCAATACCATACTTCATCTGAATGCTGAGTCAAGTCCACAATGACATCTAAAGGGAAGTCATTTCGGTCGCACATATGGTCAGAGTAGAGCGACGGAGGCTCCGCGGTATTGTGATAGAAGCAGTTGTTGATTTGAGTCCGCTTGACGTGATCTAGTAAGATAGCCAGGCGGTGTTGCGGGATCATTACAGAAGGAGAAATGGATTCTGCGGCTAAAATTAGCACCCCGGTTACACCACAGACATTAGGCATTAGATTAGACTCACTTGACAACTCGCCAAGCAGTCGTTCACGAGACGAGGTAACAGAGCCATCCCATCCAGTTTGAGTATGTAAGACTTCGGTTGAGCACATAAGAAGACTAACCAAGATAACTGGTAAGCAAATCGGGTTCTAGAAATATCTATAGATCGGCAATACCTTGATAGGGCGTGTAGACGTTCAACATCAAAATTCAAGGGCGTCAGTTCTTGGCGAAGGACGTTGAGAGCTGCAGCTAGATCACGCGCTTCTAGCATCTCGAGGAATTTCTGTTGTCGGAGATAGAATAGCATCTCGTTCTTATCGGCCTCCTCTGCTAATACCAACGTCTCCTCTTGTGAAGACTTCCTGTCGGACTGTTGTGACCCGGCATTTCGAAACGACTGAATCAAGATTCTCTCGGCCTCTGGCCATCTTCCGCCCAACACCGCATTTCGGAACGTTGCGACCCCCGACGTCTCCAGTTCATAGCCGCTCTCCGAGCTTAACAGGGATGCCGACTCATTATAACCCAGCTCATATAGACTCTGTATCAAAATCCGCGTCACCTCCTCCCGGTTATGGCCATAGTAAGTCGAAGACTGGGATGGCCTTTTAGAGCCATTTGCGTGAGAGCTCCCGTTGGTTGCCGCTTGTCCGTTCAAACCAGCCTTCCTCGATGATGCAAGTGATTCGTTCGAGGCATCTACGAAGCCATTTTCTGTTGATGTTCCGTCGGGACGCATGATTACCAGGCGCCTGCGCTTGGGGGAAGGAGATCGGTCGTCCGGTCGGCCAAGACGATGACTGGGGTGATTCTGAGAAACAGTATCACGTGCTATTTGTGGAAGGTTTCCGGTCCCCGCCGATGAGGGACCAACGTTATCCGGGCTGCTCGAAAGACGGCGGCGACGGTTAGGCCGAGGGGTAGATGAGCTGGGTGGTTGAGATGCGGCGGACAGGAGCTCTGACGTTTGGGAACCGGGATTGCCTACCGAGGCGGGAGCTGTATTGACGGGTAAAGGAGGATCAGGGTGGTCGGAGGTGATATAGGGATGATGCGGTGATGAATTGTGAGCCAGTTCGACAGTATCTTTAGATCTGCCCAATCTCCTGGTTCTTTGAAAGAACCAGGTGAGCAGACCTCAAGCGGTGGCGGGTTGTCCGATAAGTAATCGCCGGGAGCTCCGTCGAGGAGGGGCGATGCAGCTGTCACAAGGTCAAATGGACGGTCACTAGCTCGAGCTAATAGTCATAGATGTAGCAAATGATCAAAGAGCTGTAGATCTTGCGAAATCACGCGGTTGTGATGTTCTCCGCTTTGATTGGGAACTGGTTGGGGCTTATCGGTGGAAGAGAGAACTGCCAGTCTGAGAAAGCAAAGTCTGAATATTGATGTGGAATGTCAAGTTATCAGATGTCAAATGTCGGATGTTAAATTTCGAATGGTTGAAAGTGCAGAAAATAAAAAAGAGGATTGGGTACGCGCGGAAAAGGTCGACGATCTACTCCGTACATAGAGCGTAACACCTTATGTGCTCCCTTACTATATGAGTACAGGTATAGATATATTTGTACGACAGTAAAACATATGAACTAATTGAATATTCGTTGAAGTACTCATATACAACATATATCATACATCTAATCTATACCTCCGCCTCTACCTTCCTCGCCTATTAGCTGTCATGTTTCCCATGTTTACCCCAAGAGACTGGAGTCACTATCCTTAAAGGATACCTTAGATAGAAGATGGGAGATGGAGAAAGGTTATATAGGTAAGATATTTTTCGTTGAGGAAGGTGCCCTGCCTATTTGGGAAGGGACACTCCCCCATTGTTGATCGTCATGTGGACATATATGATGCCTTATACAGTCAGTCCAGTAGCTACTTCATCAAGCAACTACTGTCAACAAGAAAATCGGTCTATACGCTTGAGTATCTTCGAATGAAAACAAGATTGCTTGCTCATAGCGAGCTCCCCGATCTAGCGCCGTTTTTCCCTTAGAAAGAGCGTTACGAGCAATATACCAATATGAGATAGCTATGAAAGCTCCTCTACCAATCTACCTCGAGAGCTATACAGGCTTAATAAGCAATACAAAGCACCTAGTTAGGCACTTAGACTAGTTAGCTTTGGAATCGCCGAAGTATACGTGTGTGGTCAGTAGAATTCTACCTCCATATTTCCATCAAAATGTTCTGCAAACAACCAATGTCTTCTCATTCGTCCATTCTTTCTTATTTTCCGCTCTCTTGGCGTACACTATATATCGTGTTACTTTTCTGCAACGACGTTCTTCCGATCATTGATACACAGACGTCAATGATACTTACATTCTGCTATATATATTGCCGGATGTAGGGTAGTTATCCATATAGACAGATTACTACTCCATTACATAATTCCTGTAGTAAAAGCTGCCTTGGTTTCTCCACTGACGCCATGATGATGATGCCAGTCATGCGGATATATAATCCTCTTATTTTGCGCTCAATCTCCAAGGTCCTCTTCATCACCACTATTCCTATACTTCTACTTCCTACAAATACTATTAACTACCTTCCAACTTATTCCACATCTTTTCATCATGGGTTGTGGTTGCGGATCTAACTGCAACTGTACCGGCGGTGCCCAGAGCTGCTCCTGTGGCGACAACTGTAACTGCAAGGGATGCGGAGTACGTGATATCCTCATAACCTTGGAATGTTTCATGTTCAAAGACTAACTCAGCTGTCTAATCTTAGAAGTAAATTATTTCCCCACGTCTCCGACTCCAATGATGAATATGGTGATGATTTGACGCAAGGAATCAAAGTTCATAGAGATTAAATTCGATCTCTCAAATCAAAAATGTACTCCCAAGTCTTTTTCGTGACATGTAGATCTCATCGTTTCTCTTTCAACACTGCCTCGGAAGCTTTAAGCGCTCCCGTAATACTAAAACATATAAATGGCGACAACGCATACATGATCTATAGATATAGTCAGCGAAATATCTTTTCCCCGTAAAGCCACGTACCGTCAACGTTTTCGCAATAACCATCTTTTCCATCTCAGACGCCTGCGCCAATTCCACCAACCCCGAAATCACCAGCGCCGGGGGACCAGCAGGCATCAGCATCATACTAAACCAGAGCATTGGATCATCACCAAGGAGACGAGTCCTCTTAGCAAGTCCATAAATCAGTGAAATACTTAGTGCCGGCCAGATCACCAAACGAACAACAAAGATAGTGGTGATAGCCTTGATGGGGATACGGGCCGAATTCCCTTCTGCAACCGTCCGCTCGAACGTGACCCCAAGCCTACACCCAACCATGAAGATTTGCAGCGTTGTAAACAGCCCGCCGATGTTGCTCACACTTGCAGTCAGCCACGCGGTGAATATCCCGCCATCATCTTCATCATTGAAGAATGCCCGGTGCAACGCGGGGACTAGACCCAGCACCGTACCGACAATCATGCAGATTATTGCCACGTCTGCTAATGGATACTCGAAGGGTGCGAGTAGTTCTTGCTTGACTCGGTGCGGGAATAATGAGCCCAGCCAGTGCGTCGACCTCCGAATCAGGTTCCCAGCTGATGTTCGGGCTTGTTGGGCGCGCTGCGGGAGCAATGAGGTTTCTTCGGTGAGTTGCTCGTCCTGTGCTAGGATATGGTGTCGCTCCTCTGAGCTACTAAGACCGTCTCCACGATCTTGTAACATCCTCGGTCCGACGACATAGGCGATGGTCTTGCTGATCACCCCGCAAACAAGGAAGTAACTCTGAGCACGGGAGATTGCCGATGATGTGGTTTCACCATGTCGTAGGATCAGTTTTAAACTTCCTACACTCCCAAGTGAGTGGAGAAGTAACAAGGGTAGAGACGTAGTGTTGTTGAACGAGCAAGCCGGTGTAACCCATTGAGGTAGGCCAAGCAGATATGACGATAAATGGCCGAGACTAATGGATGCAGATGTGTAGAAAACTGACCAGACTAGTAATAGATGGATGCGATAGGTTAGTGTTAGTTATGCTGGGTTCAACAAGAGTCGCCATGATATACTTATGACTGGGATATAGTTCATCGCTGTCTGGAGATGAAGCTGCTCGCCAAGATTCACGATGAGTAGTGCCGGTAGGAGGAGTTTCATGCCTAATCCCAACATGTCATTGATTGTAGTCTCCTGGAGCAAATGGAGCCGACGAGCAGCAAAACCATAGCCCATTGTTAACAGCACGGAAACACAGGCTTGTAGTGCACCCAGGAAGGGTGTTACTAAGCCTTCGCTGGACATATTTGCTTTTTGAATCGCTGGCGCTATCAGCTAACTATGTTTTCGTCTTCAAAAACTTATAATTCTAATGGCCGTGGCGTCATGGTGACCGAGTTAACTACAAATTTACCAAAACCGCTCGACATTGTATGAGCATTCGACTATCCCAAGGACATAGTTCCGTTATATATATCATATATATCATCCACACTAGAAAATATTCGGGCCTTCGGGGGAGTCCATCACCGAGCACGGGGATTCCCCGTAGGGTGCTTGCTATAGTTAAGAGACGATAGCCCTAATTGGGCTGCATCTTCCTTCTCCAAAAGCCTCAATCACTTCAAGTGGACTTTAATCACGCGATACTTTGCAGTCTATATACCATAGATACAAGCCCAATAAATATAATACTAATAACACTTCTCCAAATTGGCCCGTTCAAACGTGTGGGGGGCCTCGGGTAATCGGTCGGAGGAAGGCCGAGTTGTCCTCTCAGCGCAAGAACATAAAGAACATCATTAGAAAGAAAGGACAGTCTTTCTACTCTTCATCTATCACACAAATCCTTCTCGGTCTTAAACAATGTCTTCCATCATACTCCGCTCAGCTTTGGAAACCACGCCAGTGGCATACGGCTTCTGGTTAACGTATGTTTACACCCCGCATTTGGAGAGGGGCATCACCATCCCCCGCTGCTCTTCTCAACCTCAAAGCTGTATCCAACAAGAGGAGAAGGAATCAAGCTAACTGGCCTTCTACCACAGCCTCCCCAGTGCCGCCGTCGCAAAGACAATTCTCCGCCGCAGTCCCGAGTTCTCGGAAGGTGGATTCAGCTGGGTTCTAGTTGACGCTGAACATGGATTGATTACCGACACCCACTATTATGAGGTTTGTCATTCGAGTGAATTGAACTCGAGAATTTATTATTGACAATCACATCTAGCTCACTAATGCCGTCGGCCACGAGGGTGCTAGTCCTATTATCCGTGTGCCCTGGCCCGAAGAGTGGATGATCAAGCGTGCTCTCGATGCCGGCGCCCACGGAGTCATGACTCCTATGTGTCACTCTGCAGTATGTGTAACCCGGACCGCTGCGTTCGCACTTTTCTCTTTATCTGTCGGATCTGTATCTCAAATGCTAACACCCGCTTTTCTGCGTCTAATAGGAGGACGCTGCCAAGGTCGTTAGCTACTGCAAGTACCCGCCTGTCGGAGTCCGTGGATACGGGCCTATGTTTACGCCGCATTCATTTCCCGGCGTGAAGCCCGCCGACTATGACGACAAGACGCACGGTGAAGTCCTCGTTATTGTGCAGATTGAGTCGCGGCCGGGTGTTGAGAATGTAGAGGAGATTGCTAAAGTCGAGGGACTTGATGTTTTGTTTATTGGTGAGATTGGACCTTTCTGTTTATGGTTTGTGGAATTGGCTAACGGGTTTTTCCTAGGACCCTTCGACCTTGCTAAGCAGATGCGTGTCACCCGCGGTGGCGAGGAGCACGAGGCTGCTATCCAACGTGTCTTGAATGCTGCTAGAGCTGCAGGAAAAAAGGCTGCTATCTTCTGTATGTGTTCTCATTTCCGATGTTCCATGGCTCATGTCTAATATTGCGTTTTTTAGGCTCCGATGGTGATGATGCTCTTCGCCGCACACAGCAGGGCTTTGATATGGTTTCCATTACCACCGATGTTGCTGTCTTCGGTGACGGGATGCTCAACGAATTAGAGAAGGCTAAGGGCACTTCTAAGGTCCAAGGAAAGCGGGACGGGTATTGAACTGTTTCGGAATTATATTGATTATGTGTACATATAATCCACGCAATAAATTCAACTATATTATCATTCTACACTGTAAAACGATTGCTCTCCTCCATTACCTATTATTCAAACTTCCAATAAAGCTTTGGCTTGGTCACTTCTTTGTCATCTTCACTCTGTAGGCACCTGGTGTCACCGACTTGACAGTTCCATTTTGCTCGACGTCAAAAACGAAAAGCGAGGTAGTAATACCACCCCAGGTCAACTGGTCCAGCATAGTCCAGTCGTTGAGATCGTAGAACGAAGAGAAAAGACTTGAAGAGGAACCAACTCCGGGATTCCGACCCTGAGTTGCAGTATATCCCCGGAAAGCGATTTCCCCACTGGCCTGTTCGGAGATAATAGACGGCACAAGTCGTGACCCGACACCACCAAGGAGTGTAGACACTAGAGCCGTGATATCTGTCCCATTGCTAATCCACGAAGTGATATTCAAACCAGGCGCGGGCTGGGTAGGTGGCACAACAGCGAGTGTCAATGACGAATTCAGGTCTTCGGCTTTGTATGTGCCGGCGAACTTCTGCACTGCCTCTGCTGCGGCTTGCTCCATAAGCGCCGGGAGTATAGCATCGACAATAAGGTCGATCGCCAAGAGCGCCTCGCTGCTGCGGCTGGATTGCGTGCTGGCTGAGAGGAGAGTGAAGCCGGCGTCGAAGTCCGGTATCACGACCACGATGCCACCGTAGTATCCTGAGTCTCCGAGTTTCGTGTATAGGTCAGTGACCACGCCTGATCCCGCGTGGACGTATCGATGGATCTCCCATGGTGAGCCGACCGAGTAGCGTAAACTTGAGGTGTGAGTGATTGGCTTCATCCATTCCCGTGTCTTTTCGGAGGGAAGGAGGGTGGAATTCAAGAGGGCTACACCAAGCTTGGAAAGATCATTGATTGTAGAGAATAATCCACCAGAGGGGGTTGTAGCGCCTCCATCAGGGATGAACTGCTCATCAAGAGCCTCCGATGTGACGGAATGAGGGCGGGTGGAGTTGCCAGGGGTTGACGAGTAAGTGGACTTCAATCCCAGAGGTTCGAAGATCGATTCACTATACCATTCGTCCATGGTCTTTCCCGTGAGATTTGAAATCGCGAGACCGAGGAAGATATAGCCGCCATTTGCATACTCGGGGCTCGTCCAGGGAAGGTAAACTGGGGGCCTTGGGGCGTATGCCACATCCCAGGAGACTGGATTGCAGCCCTGGGTCTGTTCACCCAAGCAAGATGGCCATAAAGATATGTCACTCCCGTTCAGCGGTGGGAGACCGTAGAAGTTTGGATCAGTCAACGCGGGATTGTGAGAGTGTTCGAGATACTTGTATAGAAGAAAGGTTTGTAGGAATTCTTCTGTAGCACCATGGGGTATGCCGCTCATCTGACCCGCAAGGGATTTGAGGGTGACTTTGTCCCATTGGACATCATAGACAAGCCGGAACTTGTCATGTTGCTTCCGAACACGCTCGGCCAAGAATGGGAAGATGTCGGTAAGTGGACGGTCCCAGTCCCGAGGTTTCAGCTCTATAAGTCCAGCAAGGACTGTGAAGAGTTTCGACACACTGGCAACCTTGTAAATGCTGTTTCCATCCACCTTATTCACCCCAACCGGGGAGTTTGCTACCTCACTGGCGGTGTGATGTAATTGAAGATCTTTGGCTTTCGGGTCAAGCGTGGAAAATAACCCAGCAGAGAATGTGAGGTTCTTCAGCGCAAAGACTCCACTGCTTTTGTTGGCCTGGTTATCGGCGAGGACGGTGTTGAGTTGAGAAGTTAGGTTCTTCCAACTGGCGGCGACTCGACTGTGATTGCTAGACAAGTCCCTAGGAGGTGGGTATGACGGTCCTAGAAGGTTGGCAAAAGCCGCTGCCGGGAGGCAAAGCAAGCCGGTGAGCACGTAATTCGGTCGCATGGTGCTTATGAGAAAGAATTGCTGAATTATTCCAAAAAGTAGGTTGATGAATTAGATTGAAATTTCAACGAATGCTGCACGTCGGCCTGGTCTTATACCTCCTTCAAACTGCCATCGAATAAGGCGCTACGTTCATTCTGCATACAAGGTTATGTCATATTTAGCTCCGTGATATACTACCTGGGGGCCATCAACCAGGATCTCAATCTATTGGTGCATCCATGTCGTGGGGTACCTCGATTTGGTCCGTTGTACCGCTCTGCTGGGGCAATGACACGATGAGCCGCTCTAGTTTGCTGCGTTGAACCATTTCTGGAAGCCTTGATTGATGATCCTTGAGGCGGTGTCATTGTCAATTCTATCGATATATGGGTGTTCTTCAGCAATACGAACTGACGGAAAAACGGTGGTAAGGCGAGTGTATTTTGTGGCAGAAAAATCTTAATAAATTCTCTAACTCTCTAAAACTGACAATAGTCCTAAAACATGACAATCTGATGGACAACTTAGTAATCAAAACAAACAAAACAAAATGAAAGGATGTTTTTCGGGCGAAAAACTGCGGGACTGGTTTTTCGGGCGGAAAACCTTCTGAGTTGGTTTTTCTGCAGAAAAACCAGCCTGGTCAGTCACGTGATCCAACTGTATCAGGGATGAAAAATGACAGTATTCATCCTAGATTCTGACACGAACCTTCGTGCTCAGCCAAAGCCACTGACATCGCGATGCATAGGGACACTAAACCCGATCGGGTGGCATGCGGCGCTCTATGTCTTGGCATTTATGCTTCGATGACTACGCGGAAACCGACCTGTTGCAACGTGCCGACGCATGTCTTGCCCACCAAAAAGATCACGGTCATCACAATAAACATCCAGATAGGCTTGGTTGAGTCGTCATGTACATCCCCGACCCAACTGCCCATGTGGTGCTTGCGTTGTTCAGCGCCATTGTTGGTTGAGAAGAAGCAATCCAAGGACCAAAATCGAGAGTTCCAGTAGAATTATCATGCGATTTTCTCTGGTAGGAGTTTAAGATGGTGTGAAGAGGTTGAAAAAGCAAGAGAATGGATGTGGCCTGGATAGCTTTCCTATTTAGGCAGTCACGAGCTGTGCACATACTTACGGCAAGTACCGGTTCTTTCAAAGTTCCCTGCGTATCCATTATGCTAGGAACATTTTTGGTGTCTTATTTCTTATATTATTGCTGGTAACTTAAAGGGCGATTCGAATTATAACACGGGACCGCTCTCACGCGCTTGCGTTTGCCCCTAGTTTTCGCGGTGGCAAAGATGCCGGATTATCCATAGAGCACATTTCAGTAGCACTCTCATCAATGATACCTTCACAGGTCGGGTCGTCATAGCTTGTTAAAGGAATGGACTTGACGAGGCATGGGCGTTTTGGATGCACGTTAGAAGATTTGGTGTAGCGTGAATTCAGTCAGATTAGTTATTCATTTGCTATGAGACTGTCAGGGCCAGTTGAGCGAGTAGCTATGTGGGACTTGGAGGGACCAATTATTCAGTAATATTCAGTAAAGAAGAAGGGAGAGATCTCTAAGATTGGAACATACTTTGGGGTGTTGGAGGTCGCCTCTGCAGTCTCACAATAGCTCCTTTATTGATTGCATCACATAATTGTAGAAGATATCGGAGAACTTTCTTGTTCTCATCTTTCTCCTTGACCTATAACAGATCGAGAACAGCCAACATCTATTGATTAATATCAACTCTCTGACCGGCGACATCACATGAGAGTAGAATGCAGGCTTTGAAGTGATGTTGTTTTGGCTCAATACGACGAAAGTAGCGCGAGTGAGAGTGGGCGTTCCTAGAGAGGACATGTGAAGCCACTATCATTATCGACCCCGGATTTGTATGATGTCTGTCAAGTGTCGATTGGACGATATGTATTAGCTGCTCACATGTTGACCGTCTATTTGAGACTTTGAGCCATGTCACATTATATGACCCAGTGGTCCCATGCAGGCCCTACTACTTACTCCTTTGCCTAGGCTCTGGTTTCAAGTTGTCCTATATGGCCTTAATATCTAGTAACACCCAAGTGACACTATATTCTAAGCTTTGAATCTAAGCTTTGCTAAGCCTTTGTTGTGCTAAGACCTTGTATGCTGCCTTTGACCGCCCCTCTATACGCCCGACATCCTTTGATCCTTTCAGGTTTCATCGGTGCTCCCCAAAAGCACGGTTTGAATAATGGCCTCTTATAGGAGTTGCTGTTCAGACTATAAAGGCTGCTGTTTTCGTCCGTAGACAACGATTTCTACACAACCTTCAAACCCTTTCGCCACAGGTCACCACTAGCCATGGAGCCAAGACCAACCATCAAATTCAAGTTGAATGGAGTATTGAGATCTGGGGCTGAAATCGATGACTTGGAACTCCAAGCTTGCTATCGCGCTCTCGACAACCTGCGGAGCTTATTGTTTCAAGCACCGATGCTGGACCTTCTGAGAGAGCAAATCAAGGAAGGAGACCGCTATTTCGAATCGCTGATTCGAGCCTCTTGGGGGAAATTCAGAGAATGCAGAACATTTATGAAAGTGGCCGGTGTCTCGGCGACAGAGTTGAGAACACTCTGCAACCGCTGGCAACTCTCCAAACCCCTCGAAGACATGGCACGAAGGATTGTATTCCCAACGCACCCAGAGAACTATGCGATTATGCATTCCCCAGGAGCTCCCGTCAGAAGTGGGCCAGACTGTGGGGTGGAGGTCATCGGGGACCACATGGCGAAGGTTCGATTTGTGGATCTCATGGTAAGCGGGGAGATTCCCAGGTGGATGTCGGCGCAGCGAGATGACAGTTATGAAATGGCGGAGTACTTGGTCGCGAAACTTGAGAGTGGGAGCAAGTTTTTCTATATTATGAACGAATTCATGGATACCGAGGGTGGTTGCAGGATCAAGCTGCGGGCCTTTTTCCCCTCTGCTTCGCCATGGTCATTGATCAATCAACACGCCGAGCATCTTGCGGTCGAGTTTCGAAATCTTCTCCGAATCGTCCATGAGACCCTTGAGGAACTTGAAGACAGCTATTGACCCTTTCCCGACCGAGACAGACATCATCATCGCCGGACATTAGTACATATCATGGATTATTCCAAGTCGTCAGTTTTGTTTCTCATATAGTTTTCTGCAATATTAGCATTATTGGATTGATTTCCATGGTTGTTCCAGGTCATTATGGGGGAGACGCAGTAGCTCATCGAACTTGTAAGACGAACCAGATCCCTGTTCAGTGATTCAAGTAGTTCTCAAAAACCGCAGTAACAGCCAAGCAGAAATATTTCTAACATTGTGAGACCGATAAAAAAAGCCACCAGAAGTACAGCCAAGCTGAAGGATCGGCTTTGCATGGCCACAATTCGGTCCGCGGGGAAGAGACCGAGGATTGGACGATTAGATCAGGGGAACTCCACGACCTTTGAGAATCAGACTCAGTTTTCAACACCTGTAACTTGCAGTCCAAAGCGAATGCTAGGCTTGGGACGTCCTCTATTGAAAGCGCGGGCATCATTGTTGGATCTGATAACCGCAAAGAATACGTTGACACAGCCATCACCGCCCGCCGAGCTGCCACCGCTTCCAGACTCGCCCTCCTCAACTACCTTCACCCACTCTGTGTCTACCCATTCCACACAGTCTTCTTCCATTATGACTTCAGACGATTCTGAGAACCATGGCTCGATCTTTTCGGTCTCCGGCCCTGTCGTCGTGGCCGAGCATATGATCGGTTGTGCCATGTACGAGTTGGTAGGCAGCCCCAGCTCCGAGATGGTGGAGAACCCCAGATACTGACCGCATAGTGTCGTGTCGGTCATGACCTGCTTGTTGGTGAGGTTATTCGCATTGAGCAAGACAAGGCCACGATTCAGGTCTACGAGGAAACAGGTAGAGCTCCGCAGCCCCCGTTTGATCATACCCCCTCAGAGAGCTATGCTGACCGATGTCATCTTTGAATAACAGCCGGTTTGACTGTTGGAGACCCGGTTCAAAGGACAGGAAAGCCCCTTTCAGTCGAGCTTGGCCCCGGTCTGATGGAGACGATCTACGACGGTATTCAGCGACCCCTCAAAGCCATCGCGGACCAATCGAAGAGTATCTACATTCCCCGTGGTATTTCGGTCAATGCCCTGGACCGGGAGCGCAAGTGGGAATTCAAGCCTACTACCTTCAAGGTCGGCGACCACATCACTGGTGGTGACATCTGGGGTAGCGTGTTCGAGAATAGTCTGGTGAACGACCACAAGATCCTGCTGCCTCCTCGTGCACGGGGTACCATTACCCGGATTGCTCCTGCTGGCAGCTACACCGTCGAAGAGAAGCTGCTCGAGGTGGAGTTTGATGGTAAAAAGTCCGAGTTCGGTATGATGCAGACCTGGCCCGTCCGTGTTCCCCGCCCGGTTAGCGACAGGCTGTCCGCCGATGCGCCCTTCATTGTCGGCCAGAGAGTGTTGGATGCCCTCTTCCCCAGTGTTCAGGGTGGTACTGTCTGCATTCCTGGTGCCTTCGGTTGTGGAAAGACTGTTATTTCCCAGAGTGTGTCCAAGTTCTCGAACAGTGATATCATCGTCTACGTTGGCTGTGGTGAGCGTGGTAACGAGATGGCCGAAGTCTTGATGGATTTCCCCGAAGTACACGCCCTTCCCAAACTTACTGCGATAACATGTTACTGACTGCATTTCTTTCCCAGCTTTCTATTACCGTCGAAGGCCGCAAGGAGCCTATCATGAAGCGTACCTGTCTGATCGCCAACACCTCCAACATGCCCGTCGCCGCCCGTGAAGCCTCTATCTATACCGGTATCACTATCGCCGAATACTTCCGTGATCAGGGTAAGGACGTGGCTATGATGGCCGATTCCAGTTCCCGTTGGGCTGAGGCTCTGCGTGAGATCTCGGGTCGTCTGGGTGAGATGCCTGCTGATCAGGGTTTCCCTGCGTACCTGGGAGCCAAGCTCGCCTCTTTCTACGAGCGTGCTGGCAAGAGCAGTGCTCTTGGCAGTCCCGAGCGTGTAGGCAGTGTCAGCATTGTCGGTGCTGTCAGCCCGCCCGGTGGTGATTTCTCCGATCCCGTCACCAGCAGTACCCTGGGTATTGTCCAGGTGTTCTGGGGTCTCGACAAGAAGCTGGCGCAGCGCAAGCATTTCCCTTCGGTCAATACCTCCATCTCCTACAGCAAGTACAACGCAGTTTTGGATAAGTACTACGAGAAGGACCACCCGGAATTCCCCCGTCTGCGCGATCAGATTCGTGAGCTTTTGGCCAAGTCCGAGGAACTGGACCAGGTTGTCCAGCTGGTCGGTAAAGCGGCACTGGGTGATTCGGATAAGATCACGCTGGACGTGGCCAGCTTGCTCAAGGATGATTTCCTCCAGCAGAACGGATACAGTGACTACGATCAGTTCTGCCCCTTGTGGAAGACCGAGTACATGATGAAGGCGTTTATGGGCTACCACAACGAGGCCCAAAAGGCCATTGCTCAGGGTCAGAATTGGAACAAGGTCCGTGAGGCTACTGCTGATATCCAAAGTGCTCTGCGCGGCATGAAGTTCGAGGTTCCGGAGGACGAGGCGGAGGTTTCGGCCAAGTACGAGAAGATCCTCCAGTCCATGACTGAGCGATTCGCTTCGGTCTCGGACGAGTGAAAGTGACATCTTAACTTAGCACGTATTTCCTTTTAGATGTTTGTTCGAGCACATTCCCCTGTAGTTATTGTGTCCAACTCGAGTTACTTTTTTTCCATTATGGTTGCTTAACGGTATAACTTCTAGATGTACATGTGGCCCGTACGCGTCAGGCAGCACAAGATATGCGCACATGACCCAATATCGGATCTGTTAGGTTATTTGGCATGTTGAAATAGTCTCTTTCTTTAGGATATCCGGCTTATAACACTATATACACTATTCTTCACTCGTCAGTACTTTGATTGTAGCCTAGGCCGACAGACCGGGACGCCACTACATCACCGCCTTCGTGAGCCAAACAATCCCTCCACTTACACCGTGCACCTCCCCGGTTCTACTTCATTCGACTTCTCTGTTGCCTCGTTTTTCTTGCTTTTTCCATATTCCTTGCCTAGAAGCAGTTTTCCGTATCCCAAATCGCCAGCCATGGCAAGCCCCACGACCGGCCACTCGTGCGCAAACCCCTGTCCCTTTCCTATGCGGTCTGGCTAATCTCCGTGCAGCATAAATGTCAATGACCCCAGCTTGATTTCGCTGGTGAACAAGCTTCAAGATGTCTTTTCCACAGTCGGTGTATGTATACTTGATCAGAGGTCACAGATCAATTGTGATTACAGGGGCACCATGTGCGCTAACACCGCTACTCGTTTTAGGTGCACAACCCAATCGATCTGCCCCAAATTGCCGTTGTCGGGTCGCAATCTAGCGGAAAGAGTTCGGTGCTAGAGAATATCGTCGGCCGGGATTTGTATGTTGCTTGTTTTGGGGAGCTTGCGCGGCCCCGTGCACGCCCTCGGTGGCGGGGCATGCGCCATATGTGAATAATTGCTAACCAAGTTTTCGCCTTGCAGCTTGCCTCGTGGCTCTGGAATCGTCACTCGGAGACCCCTTATCTTGCAACTGATTAACAAAACCCCCACCACGAACGGGGAGACCAAGTTGGAGACAACGGACAGCGAGTCCAACGTGAACGAGTACGGTGAATTTCTACACCTCCCCGGGGAGAAGTTCTTCGATTTCAACAAGATTCGAGATGAAATCGTCCGCGAAACGGAGACCAAGGTCGGAAAGAATGCCGGAATCTCGCCCTCCCCGATCAACCTGCGCATCTACTCCCCCAACGTCTTGACCTTGACCCTCGTCGATCTGCCTGGTTTGACTAAGGTGCCCGTCGGAGACCAACCGAAGGATATTGAGAAGCAAATCCGTGATATGGTCCTCAAGTATATTAGCAAGCCCAACGCAATCATCCTAGCAGTCACCTCGGCCAACCAAGATCTTGCCAACTCGGATGGTCTGAAGTTGGCACGTGAGGTGGACCCGGAGGGTCAACGCACCATCGGTGTGTTGAGTAAGGTCGATCTGATGGATGATGGTACGGATGTAGTAGATATTCTCGCTGGACGAATTATCCCCTTGCGCCTGGGTTATGTGCCAGTGGTCAACCGTGGCCAGCGTGACATTGAGAACAAGAAACTCATTGCTTATGCCTTGGAGAACGAGAAGAACTTCTTCGAGAACCACAAGGCGTACCGGAATAAGGCTTCCTACTGCGGTACGCCGTATCTGGCACGAAAACTGAATTTGGTAGGGGTTGACCCCAATCGTCTATGAAACCTTTGGACTAACGGACTTCCTATTTTTAGATTCTTATGATGCACATCAAGCAAACTCTGCCCGATATCAAGGCCCGCATTTCCGCCTCCCTCCAGAAATACACCGCAGAGCTAGGGCAACTAGGTGACTCTATGCTCGGCAACAGCGCCAACATCATCCTGAACATCATCACTGAGTTCAGCAACGAGTACCGTACAGTCTTGGAGGGAAATAACCAGGAGTTGTCCAGCATCGAGCTGTCCGGTGGTGCTCGTATTTCTTTTGTGTTCCATGAACTCTACGCGAACGGTGTCAAGGCTGTCGATCCCTTCGACTTTGTGAAGGACATTGATATCCGAACTATCCTTTACAACTCGTCCGGTTCTTCACCCGCACTATTTGTTGGCACCACCGCCTTTGAGTTGATTGTGAAGCAGCAGATCAGGCGACTGGAAGAGCCCAGCTTGAAATGTATCTCTCTCGTTTACGACGAGTTGGTGCGCATCCTGAGCCAGCTCTTGACCAAACAGCTGTTCCGCCGCTACCCCATGCTGAAGGAGAAGTTCCATGCTGTCGTCATCCAATTCTTCAAGAAGTGCCTTGAGCCTACCAACAAGCTGGTCAAGGACTTGATCAACATGGAATCCACCTACGTGAACACCGGCCACCCTGATTTCCTGAACGGACACCGCGCCATGACTCTCGTCAACGAGCGTCAGGCAGCCGCCAAGCCTACACAGGTCGACCCCAAGACTGGCAAGCCTCTCCTCCCAGCCCGTGCCCAGAGCCCCTCGCTCGACACCAGCGGTGAGGCCAATAACAACAGTGGGTTCTTCGGCAGCTTCTGGGCTTCCAAGAACAAGAAGAAGATGGCCCTGATGGAGGCTCCTCCGGCAACTCTTAAGGCTTCAGCTAGCTTGTCTGAGCGTGAAGCCACCGAAGTTGAGGTTATCAGTAAGTGGACTAGCTCATGCAGAACGCGTGTGATATTTGACTAACACTCACGCAGAACTCCTGATCACTTCCTACTTCAACATTGTCAAGCGCACAATGATCGACATGGTCCCCAAGGCGGTCATGTACACCCTGGTCCAGTATGTATCATCCCCAATCCCTTTCGTCGAGTATACTAACAAATGATTTTCCTAAGATTCTCCAAGGATGAGATGCAACGCGAACTACTAGAGCAAATGTACCGCACCAACGAGCTCGACGAACTCCTCAAGGAGAGCGATTACACGACCCGCCGACGAAAGGAATGCCAACAGATGGTCGAGAGCCTGGGTCGCGCCAGCGAAATCGTCAGCCAAGTCCAGTGACGAAAGAGTGGACTTGGTCACTAGACGATTTATCCCTAGAGGAAAAAATCATCCCATTGACCGCTACGTTGGTGGAGTTGGGCTCCTCGCATCTCTTTGTGATTTTTGCAACACGCTCCGAATATCTTGACTATACTCCGTACTTGCTTTGCTGTTCCTACCATCCCTTGGTTAGCGACTTGTTCCGTTGGTCCTTGTTTAGATGTTGATCCGGGTGGTTCGGGTTCGGATTTCGGATTTTCGTCTTCTTTGGTTTCGATAAGAGGGAGTTCTTTGCTTCACCTTACTACATGTTTTCTTTTCTTTTTTTCCCAATTTGAGAGCTCTATACCGTTTTCCTTTCTCATTGCTTGGTCTGTTGTCTGCGTTTGCGGACTTCCTGCCACGGACGCCCGGATGATTGTATCAATTAATGATTCTGTCTCTGCTTTATGACTTAGCTTAGAATTCAAATGTTGACTTTTCAATGTTTTCATCATTTACGTTATAGTTCATATCAGTACATGCAGGGGCGGTAACTTTTGAGACGTGAGAAAGCTACAGTCAACAAGAATAGTGCCAATACGATTTGGATATCCAATAATATCCGCGCGAGCAAATGCTAGACAACACCGGTTTTTTATGTGTGGGAGATGAGAAGGTGATTATGAAGATGATGATGTCCTTCATTCTTTATTTCCGCAGTTTGATGTCGCAGAAGTGCTTTAAATACATAAAATTGGAAATTCTTTCCAGTAGATACAAAACAAGTTGAGCAAGCCTCCCTAGCGAACGGCGACCGTGACATGGACGTTGATGATGTCCATGGAAGCAAAGTATGCTAGACCAGTTTGTCTTTCGAGATGACGAGCTTCCATTCAATGATTCCATGACCGCCTGCCAATGGTTTCTTCGGGGTGTGGATGATTCTTGGACATATTTCCTTGGTGCCTTTTTTTTTTGTGGGTTATGGCTGTCCTGCAAGTCCACGGTGGTGAGGAGTGTTGTGGGCAGAGTTTGATGTGGGGGGTTTTTTTTCTTGTTTTGATCTGTGCCTTGGGCTTAGAATTGTCAGCATTATTGTCTTGAACGGGGGGGCTGTTGTGAACCAAGGCTTACCATACTCATGATTCTTTTTCTTCGTGACACCCGTTGCGTGAGCATGAAGGAGGGTTGAAAATGACAGAGACAATGCCTTCGATGTATTTGTGAAGCCTCGAAGTTGTCAGAGAGTTTGTGGTTGGTCATGAGTAGTTTCAGAAGAGCTTGATAGTTGGCGCTCCTTGTTTCAGTGTGCCAACCCAGTCTAGTGGGAAGTGATCCAGTCAAGTGTGAAAGTCGATGTCAATTGATGCCGTGCGATGAACAGTTGTTGAGGCTTTGTGTCTCGGAGGCGGGCTCTTTAGTACCGTTTCGTGGAGAATCAATGTGGTCTTCGGTATTGGGATTTGATGTGACCCAAAGGTGGAGGTATTGAGAGGCTGGTGGTTGTCGAGTGCTGGGAATTGACTGGATGATATGCACTGACATCTCTATACTGCAACCTTGCGAGACCACTCTTGTCGGCTTTCACTACTTGATGTCAACTCACAGTGGGCAGCATCGATATACCAGAATCAACTCGCAGTGGACAGACTGATATACCAGAATCAACTCTAAGTCCCAGGTAAATTAGGAACAGTGCACCCCCTGAGCATACAACCCAACACGCCGCCTATTGGTGCTGGGAAGTATGGTGTCAGAGGATGATGTTCCTAATTCACTCGTGAGCGTCGAGAATAATGGTTCTTCAGTGCTGCCACGGTCCCAAGTACCAGAAACATGGATCCCTTGATCATACAACCCAACACGCCGCCTATTGTTGCTGAGAAATATGGTGTCAAGAGGATGTATTCCGGGCTCACTTGGCGGCCGTCGAGGATAATGGTTCTTCATGCTGCCACAGTCCCAAGTACCAGAAACATGGATCGATTGATCATACAACCCAGCACACCGCCTGTTGGTGCTGAGAAGTATGGTGTCAAGAGGATATATCTCTGGCTCACTTGGTGACTGTTGAGGAAGGTAGTGAGGGACCGGCAGGAGGTGGTCTGCAACATTGCAGCAAGTTGATGGGTTTCCGCATTGGACTGGGTGGTGGGATGACCGTATGAGATGGGATTGAGTTAAGCAGGAAGTTATTCAAATTCTCGAGGATCTCGTGGGTTGGTGGTGACTGGTGACTAGAAGTGTTAGCACTGGCAAAAGCGAATCACAAGTTGGGAGACAAACAGTCATGTCATTGCATCCCTCTTCATTCAGGTGGAATCATGAGCTCTGCTGGCTGGGCTATAGTAGAATTGGAAGTGTCGAAAGACTCCAGTGGAATCATCAGGGAACTGTGATTTTGGAAGTCAGCCTTGCATCTCAAGAGACGATATTTCTGATCTCACCAAATCCCTTTCTCTTGCGAAGATCAAAAGCAACCAATTTTCCATCCCTTTTCCTTGTTCCTTCATTTTGTCCCGTCTGATGCAAATCCATTTCCTCCTTCTTTTCCCTTCTTTTGTGGTTTGTTTCTTTCCCTCTTTTCTTTTCTTTTTTTTTTTTTTGTAGCTGCTGTTGTCTGGGGATGATGATGATGTTGATGATGATGATGTTGATGATGATGATGTTGATGATGATGATGTTGGTTGTTTCTTTTTCTTTTCTTTCTTTTTCGAGCTGAGCATCGGGCAATTGTCATGGGGGTTCCATTCGGATGCAAACGAGGTTTCTTTGCGCAGAGGTATGTGGTCAATGATGAATATATGGATGTTGCGGTGGCAGTCAGGAGGCATTTGCCGGTGGAGAAGTGGAGGCAGCCCTGTTCGGTGGTTGGCATGTTGTTGTGGCTGTTCAGAAGTGCAGAAATGTGTGGATTTTATGTAAGATGTGATGGTCATGCACAGTAAATCAATGAAGTGGCGGGCACATGCAACAAGTTGCGAGGAAGGCAGATTGAAAATGAGAGACGCTGTTCCTGTGGCAGAAGGCACCAATGTGAACTTGCGTCAGCCAATGGATCGGCTGGTTAGATCTTTCACTCATCATTGCAGAGCAGAAGAAACAGAGAGGTGAGAAGGGTTCGAATGCTCAATTTCTTACCCGGGTATTTGCAAACTGCAATCCAGGTTGCTGTTCGTGATGGGTGGTAGGCTAATAGCAGCAACATGTAAATGATATAGCGTTTGAGGCAAAGGCTGTTTCAAGCTGCAAGGGTTTGTTTTGATTCCACATCTATCACGGTTAGTACCGAGCAAGGATGGAAACATAGTGATATAGTGATGGAACAATGTTGATGAAAGGCCAAGGGATGACATGGTCAAGTCAAGATGGGTTAGGGGAGAGGAAGAATATACTCACAATGCACAGCAGAGATGCAAGATCAAAAGCCACAGTGATGAAGCCCATAGGGTGTTAGGTCTATGAGACAAGTAAGTGCATGTCAGTGATTGAAGGATGGTGACAGGTGGTAGGCAGACTTACCTTAGTGGACATGATGTGCCACGTGAGTGTGGGTGTTGACATGACAGATGTGACAGTCGCAACAATGCGTTTCTGGCAGTCAGATATGGTGACAGACTCCATTTCCAATGAATCTTGATGCAAGATATGATGGAAGATGTGATGTGGAGTGGACAAGATATTTTGAGACCCAAGCTGATGATGGAATGTACTTGGGGTGATGAAACCCTAGATGGAAGAAGAGGGATTGATGGAATGAAAGATGAGGAGGATGGGGAGTTGAAGAAGAGAGAAATAGTAAAGGGGGGGGTTGTTATATAGGTAGGAAATGTGACTCGCTTAGGAAGGTACTTTCCCTATTTGGGAAGGGACAATGGGAGACAATAGAACCCGTGGGGGCCTTCCCAATTGCCTATTGTCATATCAGGTGATACCCACCAGCCGCTAGCTGCTTCTTCATGTGGTATTCACGACCTGGTCAGGTACATGAAACCGTCTTCTAGTGGGCATCCTTGTAGAAGGTATGAAGAAGTGTAGCTTTCAAACTAGCATTCGTGATAAGCCAATGCCGATATATAGCCCAGAATTGATGCTGTAATCATAATCTTACAGTGCAAAGTAGATTTATTCCGGGATAAGAGTAGTCGACCGCTTATGCGGCCTTGTCATGACATTATGGTAGTCTTCTTAGACCTTAGTCTCTTTGGATGGTTTTTTCTATATATATCATCCCCCCATTCTTAAATTTTTCTAATTAAACGGCGGCAAAAGGAAGGGAAAGCTCAATCCACGTAGACAACTTTCTAGACCTTTGATCTATGAAGCCTCGGGGATTGGAGATAAGCTTTTTGACGCCAGACTGTGTTCGGAATAGCGGATCCGCCCGTCATGGCGGGTCACCACCTGGGCAACATCCATGGAATCATCTAATATCCTTGATGTTGCGTCTTTTTTGGTTGGCTTTCTGGCTTATTACTAGAAGTCGCATGGTTACAATGGTCGGGAAAAGTAAGAGAAGTAAGAAAGAATCAGAATTGACCAAGCTCTACTTTCGCCCGGTATGCCGATAACTATAGTGCCAATCCTCTTTCTTCAGGTCTTGTCGCACCTTGTAATTCCTCTCTGCAGCCTCAATAGGCCCCATATCCAAATCGGCAACGACGAATCCCTCCTCAGTCCCCATCTTAGCAATCGAACCCACTAGAGGGAGCGTAATCTGCGATAGGCCCAAGAAATCCTCCGACGGCCCGGCGGCGTTGACGAAGACAATACCACAGGTATTCTCAAAGCAGCGGGATGTAATGGTCGACTCGAGGAAGAGGGCTTCAGAATCCGGGTTATACGCGCGAGCTTCGGGAGAGGCGTCGTGGGGGGTCCCTGGTAGAAGTTTGAGTTAGATCAGTGAGGTACAGGCTAGGAAAAATTCAACATACAGTATGTAGGCACAATCACAATTTCCGCCCCGTCGACGATCAATTCCCGGAATGCTTCGGGGAATGCCAGATCCCAGCAGATCATCATTCCTACGCGGCCGATCGGGGTGTCGATTGCCACATGGGGCTCTGACCCTGAGGAGGTGAGGTAGGGTCGTTCCGGGTGCCAGATATTCTTCTTGCGGTAGGAGCCGAGCACAGTGCCATCGTTTGAGATGAAGTATGCTGTGTTGTAGAGCAGGGTTGATTGATCGGGCCCCGTGTGCTTTTCGATGATTGTACCCGGTACAATACAGATTTGCAATTTCTTGGCCAGGCGTTGATAGTTCGCTAGGTACTCGGCGGACTTGCCGGCCTGGACTGTCCAAAGGGGGTCTGTGGGGACCATGCCGCTGAGATGGTATCTGATTGACTCGAATCAGCCAGTGTTCATTTGTTTTGGGGCTATCCAGTGTCGTCAGACAGGAAGTCTAATAACACATCTCTTACTCTGGAAGGACAGCTAGCTCGGCGCCCTGAGCAGCAGCCTCACTGATGTAGTTGCATGCTGTCGCATGATTATACTCAGGGTCAAGCTCCTGCGATACTGTTAGCAAATCCGATCGCAATTGCATGTCTTCAATGGTTCGAAGCTCGGATACAGCCCAAGTCGATGCACCGACCTTGATATGCCATTGGATTACAGCAATGCGATGCGTAGAGGCCATTTTATGTCAATTCTACAGGTACAGGAAGCGATTATAATGGAGAGAAGAAAAAAAAAACAAACTATCCATGGTCATCCACTGGCTACCCCAACGAGAAATTGGGGTCAATGACCTCAACAATCCCACCCCGCCGCGATCAAATCGTCTATCCAAAAATCAACATATCCAGTATAAGAATAGTCGGTCGCGTATGAGGCCTCCGTCCTTGACCTAGCTCAATGTATTGACCTATTTGACTTAAGATGAGATCGGGGACTTCGTTTGCCACGACCTTGGGCTCCGAACTTGGCCTGGTGGTCCCATTAACCACTCTCCCTCAGCCACATCCCCATCCAATATCGGAACTAAAACCTCCCCGCTTCGTTCATCGACAGCAACACAAAGATTCTACCCTGTTCACTATTTCTGCATCCAGAGGGATAACCGGCGCTTCGCCTTCTAGTTCCCCCTTGATCATGCCACAGCCTGACGCAGCGCCATCTTCCCAGTGGCAAGAAAGCATTCCGAATTACTAGGCCATCCTCTCTGACCGCCGAAACACTCGCACCCACCCACCCACAACCTAAGACTCGTTTAATAGAAAAATACGATTCCTGCGGCGTAGGGAGCCTATCTACTCCCGATAGGTGCGCCGGCCGTGGCGAAAGAAGAGTCGCGATCTTCACGCAGCAGCTGGGCGCTTCCAACGCTCACCATATTTACGCTAGACGAAGTGCCCTAGATCTACCTTGTTTTCTAAGTTTTCCGGGTTCACTGGGGCAGTAGAGACGGAAGAAGAAACAGCGGCCTCTCCCACGCGTGAAATTCCCACATACAATATAGCTAGAAGGATGATCATTGGAAATGGTAGGAAGACATGCCGGACACACTTTACGGCAATATTCTCTGTACGACCAAGGGAAATAATCCTTGTCCAGCGAGACAATATCGGCGAGTAAAGGAGGTACAGATACGGAGTATAGTGGAGTACCCGAGAGACATCCCTGAAAAGTGAACACCTTGAGAATTGATATTTTCAGGACAAAATAAGTCTGTCATACCCCTGAAGTTGAAGCCGAGATGAGTCAAACAGCTGCAGTCCCAAGGTAAACAAACTTCAAAGTCCAATTCAAAATCTGACTAGATCTTGCATACTGCTTATCCGCACTTCTGATCTGTCAATACTTCGTAGTAGGGCTTAGATCTTCACGGAATTTTAGAATAGCCTGGCAAGAATGCTAGCCCTAGGAGATTAGAAGTCCGAATCTTTGTGAAATAGATGTTATGCTGCTATCTTGGCAGGAAATCGGCTATCTTCCACTACGGGTTTAGGAATGACCTAGATATACTCGGCCTCGGGGGACATGCTTTAGTACCTGCAAAAGACCACCCCTTCAAATAAAGAATGTCGGGCCGCGGGTGCCGCTTAATTTCTCTCGTTTCAAGGATATATATGGGCCCCTCGCATTTCTTTGTATTCTTGTATCTCCTATCAGCAGGTTTCGGTAAGAATGCAAGTAAGAAGGCGTGAGACACGTCGATGAATGATTGGAGATAACACCTTCCACTGCCAAGTATAGGGCGGCTGTCCTACGGGAGATGGAGAATGCAGGTACCAATTAGAAGGGGGAAATGGACTATTGATATCTCGGTAGCCCTAACAGTATAGGGGGAATCCTGCTAGGAACGGCCCACGGCATAGCCGGAATGAAAAGCGGGCCGATCTAGAACATCCCTTTCATATTAGACGATGGTGGACAATCTTATTGATGACGATGGCCGAGTTTCAGGTTTTTCCAAGGTTGGGATATATGCGATGCCAAGAAAAAAGCATAGCCATGATCACATGTCAATGCGCCGAGACTTGCATCTATTCAGGGATATGTCTATATCGCATATCGTACATGCAGCAAGGCAGTGAATCCCGATTTTTGAATCCGTCCGAGTGAAAGCTTATCGTGAAATGGAGGTGGGAAGAACCTTGGAATCCACTGGAGCTCTTTGTTTATTTTGATATATATTCGATTGTGATATCATCTGTATACTATTCCCAAAACACTCCAAGGTGTCTACATCGCCAAATCTAGAAATACACTTTGCTTCGCCACAAACCGACAAAGACGGACAAAAGGGATCGACAGACCACGTTTTCTGTGGCAGATGACAGTACCATACCGTACTGTAAGATTCCCGCATGCGTGATTTTTCCATCGCAGCTATTACCATTTCCTTTTTCTCAATTCGACCAGTTCTCTTATTCTTCCCCATTCATCTCCTTCCTACCTTCCCTCCGCTATGCCCGCGATTACCTCTACGCAAAATCGTGGCTCAATGCCACGCGGCTAAGAGCGGCCTCCCCCCGTCTCTTGCACGAAACCTCTCCGCTCGGTAGCGCTCGACGGGACCACATGTATGTATCGCGAAAAGCCAAACTCGAGATGTAAAAGCTAATGATGCAATAGGTTGGAAAAATTCCCCTCCTTTCGAGAGCACCCCGTCTCGACATCTCCCCCTTTGCGGCCAGTGCCAGTGCTCCCTGCTCGGCAACGGTCTGGCCGCAGTCCGTTCAATATGTTCTCGGATTCTCTCCACCGAGCGATAGCCTACAAGAAAAAGATCCCGATTCTAAACGAACTGCACCTCAATTTCATCTTTCTCCACTATGTCTACATCATATCCTGGGTTATCATCGGCTCGGTCATCGTTTACCCCGGTGGCAACCTCGACTACATCGATGCCCTTTTCCAATCCGCTGGCGCTGCCACCCAGAGCGGGTTGAACACGGTCAATCTGAATGACCTCCGGCTTTATCAACAGATCGTCTTATACCTAATGACATGTCTGTGCACACCGATCTTCATCCATGGCGCCGTGGTATTTGTTCGGTTATACTGGTTCGAGAAGCGCTTCCAACATGTGGTCAGTGACGCTCGGGCGATGCGACGGAGCCGATCCCGCATGGGAACCGTGACCGATGATGGGCGTACCCAGGAGAATAATATCAATCGTGCGGAGCTAGGAGTCAGCGGTCGACCCATCGTGGTGGTACGGGACCATTTAGGGGATGCCCGAGACACTCGAGTAACGGACCCGGCTAGCAAGAAAATCAATTCGGGCATGAACACACCGGAACTCCGGGGAAGCAGTGTTGAATCCAACTCCGAAGAAACGGATACAAGCAGCGAACCTCGTTTTGGCCTCGGGAGCTTGAAGGTGCCAACCCATTTGAACCCCGAACACCACATCGCCTTCTTGGAAAAGCAGCGGAAGGATAAAGGAGCGTTGCGCATCCCGAGTCCCCGGGAGTATGACCGTGGTGGTGCGCCTGAGGCTTTGGAAGAAGACGTGGACCATGAGGAGCACCCTCAGAATTTGAGTGACCATGACAGCCAACATAGCCCCGGTTCAAGCTCCGAGCGGCTCGATCGACTGGGTCCACTTGAAGAACAGCACATCACCATCAACGAACCAGATATTTCACGATCCCGTGGTCGCGGTAGTACGTTCCCTCGTCTGGATACTCGCCCTACTTTGCGGGAGACTAAAGATGGGAATGAGGTTACCACCCTTGGCGGTGCTAACGCGAGGAACACATTCAGGCAGGTGTTCCGGTCTCTGACGCAAGAGCGTGACCATTCCACCCAACCATATCTCAGTTGGAATGCGACAGTGGCTCGTAACTCCAATTTCGTCGATTTAACGGAGGAGCAGCGTGATGAGTTGGGCGGTATCGAATACCGTGCACTCAAGACATTGGCCGTCCTTCTTATCACCTACTACGTCGGCTTTCATCTCATCGGCATGGTTAGCATGATCGGTTGGATCATGACAGACACCCATTGGGGAGATATCGTCCGGGCTGATGGAGTTGGGCGGCCGTGGTGGGGAATCTTTACCGCTGCGTCGGCCTTCAACGATTTAGGTTTCACCTTGACACCTGACTCGATGAACTCTTTCCAAAGAGCCATTTTCCCTCTGCTCATGCTAGGGTTTCTAATCATCATCGGCAATACCGCCTTCCCATGCATGCTTCGTTTGATGATCTGGGTGCTTTCCAAATTCACCCGCCAGGGCTCTGCGCTATGGGAAGAGTTGAAGTTCCTTCTGGATCATCCCCGTCGATGCTTCACTCTATTGTTCCCCCGTAACGCCACTTGGTGGCTGTTTGGCATTCTCGTGGCCTTGAACGGCATTGATCTGATCTTCTTTGTCATCCTGGATGTGAGTTTGTTGTCTCCTTCTCTTGTGCGACTTCCACTGACCATGCTTTTTAGCTCAACGATTCTGCCGTCACTATGCTGCCACCCGGAATTCGAGTCGTGGACGGCTTTTTCCAGGCTGCTGCGACACGAACAGCCGGTTTTGGAATCATCAGTCTTACAGACCTTCACCCCGCCATCCAGGTTTCCTATTTGATCATGATGTATATCTCAGTCTTTCCCATCGCTATCTCTATGCGTCGAACCAATGTCTACGAAGAGAAGAGTTTGGGAATTTACGATGCCGCAGAGGATGATGATGACGAAGAGACAAATGCCCCCACATACATCGGAGCTCATTTGCGACGCCAATTGAGTTTCGACTTGTGGTATGTCTTTTTGGGCCTGTTTATCATTTCTATTGCGGAAGGTGGAAAATTGCAGAAGAACGACCACGCTTTCCAGCTGTTCACTGTTTTGTTTGAAGTTGTCTCGGCATACGGTACTGTGGGTTTGTCGTTTGGATACACCGGCGTCAATACCTCCTTCTCGGCGCAGTTCAATGTAGTCTCCAAGTTGGTGATCATTGCTATGCAACTCCGCGGTCGCCACCGTGGCCTACCATATGCGCTCGACCGCGCCGTCCTTCTCCCCTCTGACGCCCTCAATCGACGTGAGGCCGCAGACGGAGAACGCCGCATGCGCCGTCGCGCATCCAACTTCAGTGGAGTTGGGTCTTTCGCCCAATCGCAATCGCAATCCCAGTCGAGGAACGATCTTGGTCATTCTTCGGGTATGGACAGCCACGACTGGCAAACCCAGCCTACTCCCAATGCAGACTCTGTGATACATCGTCCCTCGGCTGTCCATCGTTCCTCAACTGTCCAATCCGATCGGTAGAAACGGGCGAAACCTTCATATTCTTTTGTTAACACCTATTAGAGGCTTGGCGTTCTACATACATATGCCCTGGCGGTTCAATCTTAATTTCAATGTACACATAATTATAGAAATATTACTTCCTTTGCTGATGGGATAAAACTTAGCCTTGTGACCAATATAACACTGGGTAATTGTGATGTAATATAGAATGTATTCCGTCCGAGCAGCACATTGGTTTATATGTCCTTGAACCTTGCATGGCCGTACTAGTCGATGTAGGGCGACGACCAAGCAGACTAGGCCATTTATAGCGAGGTGATCCATGGATGCACAGGCGGGAAAGATCGGCGCTTTTCCATTTTAGGAACAGAGTAAATATCCATGACGACAAACTCGATAGCTTTTCGAGGATCACCAGGGTGTAATCTAGGCAGTAGAGCATAGAGCCCAACTCATCTCCAAATCCAACTATACCAAATCCTATATGCAGACTATATCAATCAACATGGACAACCAACAGCTACCATATCTAAACGGCGACAGCGGGGCCAACCCGAGCGACCCCACTCTCGAGCTCAAATCCCCAATCATCAACAGCCAACCAGACGGAGCCGGAGACACCCCAACCAACTCTCGCCCCTGGTATAACCCACTCGGCTGGTCACTGCTCGTGAAACTCCTCGTCAGCACAGCAGCCATAGTAATCATCCTCCTGGTTGCAATCCTAGTCCCCTACCAAATAGTCTCAAACCGCTACCCAAACTACATACCCTTGAACTACACCCTCGCCGACACCTACTCCGGCCCAAACTTCTTCGAGCAATTCACCTATTTCACAGACGAAGACCCGACAAAGGGCTTCGTCGTCTACGTCAACAAAACAACCGCCGAACACCTGAACCTCACCTATGCATCCGAGACATCGGCCATCCTGCGCGTCGACGCATCAACCCCGAACACCCGTTCTGGTCGGAACTCCGTCCGCATCGAGTCGAGGAATACATACGACTCTGGCTTGTTTATCTTCGATATCATTCATACGCCCTTCGGCTGTGCGACCTGGCCTGCGTTGTGGTTGACCGATGGCTATAGCTGGCCGACGAATGGCGAGATCGATGTTCTTGAAACTACCAATATCGGCAGTCATGGGAATGAGGTTTCGATCCATACTACGAAAGGGTGCAATATGGATGTCAAGCGCAAACATACCGGCCAGGCAATCTTTAAGAATTGCGACAATTCCACGAATGGGAATTCCGGCTGCGCGGTCATCGGTGATGAGTATACTTACGGAGAGGCGATGAACAACCGTGGTGGAGGAGTTTATGCCCTTGAACTCCGCGACGCCGGGATCCGCGCTTGGTTCTTTCCGCGTGTAGCTGTCCCTGCTGATGTCGCTGCTGGGAATCCGGATCCGAGTAGCTGGGGCGTTGCGCTGGCGGATTTCCCGAGTACGAATTGCGATATTGCGACGCATTTCAAGAACTTGAGTATCATTGTTAATATCGATCTCTGTGGTGAACTTGCTGCTCAGAAGCAGTTTTATGAGACTATGTATCATTGTCCCGCGACTTGTTCAAGCTTTGTTGCGAATAATCCTGGCGGGTTTGTTGGTGCTTATTGGGAGTTTAATAGTTTCAAGGTTTATCGTGCTTATTGAGATTAGAGGATGGTTGAAGGCAGGGTTCTTTTTGGCCTAATTTTGCTATTTGCTGGGTGACATGATTGGGTTGATCAGAAGCAAAAGGAATGTTTTGTGGCAGCATGTCTTTTTGGTTGTTTGATAGGCTTTTGCTGAAGGAGTTTGGTGTCGGGATGTACCGTACGAGCAGATAAATGATGACTTTTCTTTCGTGCTATTTGTATTTTCAGTCTGAACAGCAAAGCGCTATTGCATAGGAGATCGACACAAGATCAGAGATAGTCGAGACCTACTGCACTCATGATGGGGCACGCGTAGCTGAATATCAGACACGACATATCCGTTTGAATGCCGGATGAAAATAGCAGTCAATATGGCCAGAAAATTGAGGGATAGCATTTCATTTCTGATTAAACGAAATCCTAGATATTTGAAGCTCATGCTCTCGGGTCGTCGCTCTCATCACTGTAACACTCCTCGCCATTCTCCTCATACTCATTATTGTCAATATCGCCCCACCATCCTTCTCCAGATACTTCGACCGTCTCATCGATGCAGTGCAGTAATTTCCCAGAGAGGTGTATAGCCCCTCCTTGCCACCAGAAGTTAGCGTGAAGCGGACCAATCAGTGCCTTGAACTCTTGGCAGTATGGCTTGTCCTCGGCGAGATCGAAGTACTCCACGTCTGCATTGTTGACGACGAGATTTAGATCGGTGCTGATAGTGCCGGAAAAGGAGTGTCGCTCTCCATCCCGGGTCTGGATCAAAGCATGTATCCTTCCTTTGTTGCAGGTGAGACTTCCTGGAGATCTATGCTCCTCGCGTGGTTGGCTAGCGGATTCTCGATTCATCTTGGGAATTGTTTGGTAATGAGCAAGGTTGGGATAGAATTTGGTGTTGGTCAGTCCAGTGGTCTTGTGCGTTGGACGACGAAGCGGGTGGAGGGATAGTTCTCGGCGCGATGTGACAACAAGTCAGATGGTGTGATGACTCTTCTCAGAGGCTTCGCTGGAAAATGAAAGAGATGTCAGAATAATCTTGGATCGAAGTGAGAAATGATGAGAAATGACTTCGGAATTAGTGTCAAATAAATGCGAAAGATAGATATTCAGTTTCACTTCATTGCTAAATCAACATAAAATGGGTATCTCTAACAAAGATGAATCGTCTGTCAACCACAACCGGCTATCAATAATTCATCTCTAGATCAAAAGACACGGAATGCATCAATGCTAACGAAATTGTACTCAACAGCCAGTGGCCCAAGAGACCCTAGGTATACCAAAACAGAAACCCGCAAAAAAACTCAATCATGATCATCGTAACAGTACATAAGAAAGGAAAAGAAAACAAGATGAATGAAACCACTACAGCTGCCGTAGCAGACTGCCATCTGCAAAGGGATTCTCTGGAGACATATCCAGCAATGGCCGTGTGGCATTGCGATCACCCGTTGCGACACCATGTCCGGTGCGTGGATTCCAATGACTAGTAGTGCTGGCTGAATGTGCCAGCAAACTGTTTGCAGTGAACTGGGCTTCCGGGCTTCCTTCAGAAGAAATCGGGGCCGCGTATTTGTTTGAGTGGTGACGGACGCTGCGGGCAGTGTTTCGCCGCTGAGGTGTGGTGTCCGCGGCCGGCCGTCTCCAAGAAGTCGCGGGTGGGATAGCGATTCCTCCCGGGGGCTGATCCGGACCAGTGGCAGCGTCGATCAGTTGCATGCCTGGTTGGACTTTCACGCCGCGACCCTTGCCCTTGCGGCTATGCTGCGGTGGCTCGACAAAGACTGGGGTTAGGTCAACCAGAGGCTTTTGCTTAAGAGATGGGGTTCGAGTGAAATTGGATGAATCGGGAGCACGAGTCATTGTGTTGGTCCGGCTGTTGGGGTTTGAGTCGTGGCCGGGGGTATGTGTGGATCCTCCGCTCATAAAGCCAACGCCTGAAAAGGCTTCTTGCTTGGCTCTTTTATCGCGATCCTCCCGTTCCCGCATAGCATTTTGTCGCTGGGTGTAGGTTCGGCCTAGGAGTCCGGATGGTGCAAAAGCAGATTCTCCTTCCTCGGGCGAAGAGATACCTGAAATCAATGCCTGTCTATCGCCGAAAGGCCCGTCCATTTCGGCGTCGAGCATCATAGTCTGGGAATATGAAGGTGGAGGGGGCACATATCCACGAAGAGTCTTCTTCCGAGCAAAGTACTCTTTGGAGCTTGTCGGCCTCCGTTGATCAGAGCTTTCGCGCCTCGAAGATTCAGCCGAAGTCTCTCGTTCTAGGAGTGGGACTTCGTTGTACACATTTCTCGGCTCATGCGTTGATTTCTTCGTCCCGGCGCGCTGCACAAGTTTCTCGGTCTCTGCTTTCTGGGCTGCTCCTTTCTTGTTGACAAGATACCAACTTCTCCACTTCTGTACTGCCCGGTACCATGTATCTGCGATAGACTTGTCGCTGGTCGAGAAAAAGTGCAGAAAGTTTTCGGTCGACAGAAACATGGATGATTTTTGCTGGCTCTTGATTGCGAAACACAGCTTCTTGGGTGGCTTGATATCCTTGTTCAGCGCCCGAGCGCTAGGAAAGTAGATGTCATAGTCGGATATATGGCAGATATTGGTTTCCTCGGTGTCCTCCTTTTTTGAGATTGTCACTTGTCCATCAGCACGCAGAGTAACATAACGCTTATCCCACTTGCGACGACGCTGGGAATGGTAAATATGGACAGTCACTGGGGATGGTGGCCCACTGGAGGCATTCCCAGCATCGAGCTGAGCGAGGGCTTCCACGCTGGAGGGGGGAATAACGATGAACTGGTTCTCTGCATCGTGTGACCAGGAATTCATAACTTCCCGGACATGCTCGTAGCGGCGGAGGGGACGCTCTAGGCCAACTTGCGAGAAAGACTCCATGAGAATGAATCTGTCCGCATCAATGTCCCGAGATAAGTGCTTAGTGGCATCTAGCAATAAATCCCGGACTTGAGTTGACGGGGTGACAGTGAGATCCGCGACGGCATCTCCATATCTGACAAGGGCATGTCGCTCTCCGGCGTTGACAGCGCTGACAGGAGCATCAACTCCTGGAACGATTCCGGTTCCGCCCACCCCGATGTATCTTGGGGGGGACTCGGTTCTCTTGAGGTGGACCTTGGATCGGGAAAGTTTGACCTTCTGGAAGAAAGACTTGCGATGCTCATCGTTCGATGAGTGGGAACTGTGCGGGGGGCGCGCCGGGACAGGTTCCGATCGGGGTTGTTGCGCCGAGATCTCCCCTCCAGTCAATTGTTCCATCGCACCTTGTCGGTGCACCTCACGTGCTTCCTCTTCCTCCTCATCTTGCTCCGCCAAAGGGCGACTAGTTGCGGCCCGTTCATTTTGTCGTAGCTCACCTCGCTGCTCCAGCTGAGTCCGAGCGTAGCCCGGGATTGCAGGAGGAGGTGCGACATTTCCACTTGACTGTGGCCGATTTCGATGATATCGAGAACGGCTCCTCGCGATCGAGGGGTTCTGCTCTCCGATGCTATGCACAGGCGCCGGTGGTGCGGCCATTTCGACGTCGCCAGTTGTCGCACCTGGCATTCCACGATACCGAGAGAACATTTGAGGTAGGGATTGCGCCGTGGCTGTCACACTATTCTCACTCATGTTTTGGAAATTTCTCACTTGAAATTCGCCCCCGGGGGCCGAGGCGCAAGAGTTTCGTAATGTGTTTCACGTTCTATCGCCAGGATAAGGTTAGCGTCGCCTTAAACCAAATGGCAATTTCCCGTAATTTCCTTCGGGTCGAAGATCGAACGGCCAGTGCTGCGAGTGCGATTCGGGTTCCTGGAAGTGTACAGAAGGTGGAAAACACAATTGAGACAAATGTGGGAAAAGTCCGCAGGATTCGACTCAACACAACCCCAGTGCTCGCGATCAAACCGGCCTGTTCTCAATCGACCATTCGCGTTTCGTTAGGGGGGAAAAGCGACCCGCACCGATCATCAATTGGGCCGGCCTAGGCTGGTGCATGGGGTTCGCTGGCTCGTAGGAATCGATCGTTGGATCGATCATTGGATAGATCGTATATTGATTGGACTCACCGAAGTCACTTGGCATGCAGTAGTTGATCATCGAGGAGTTGGAGAAAGGAGAAACATGATTGTCCAGAAGTTCAGGTGGGCAGGTGGGCAGATGTCAGGTCCCTGCCCGGTTGGTTTGGCCAAACATTTCCGGATCCGACGCGCCGCGTGCGGTTTCACGCGCTGTCGGAGTACAATGTACAATATACGTTGGCCTGATGGAGTATATATCTATGATCGACAGGTACGGAGGACTATTGGCATTGTATTGGCACTATTAGATTGTTCAATGGACAATGTGAGATTATTATTGGATGATATCTACGGGTCCACAGGACGATCAGATCTAAGTGTCTCACTCCAGACGTGCTTGCTATTCTCCTTTCTGGTTTTCAACGGGACTTGGCTTTTCTATATTTGATCATTCTTACAGGCGAATTGAATTCGGTCGATCTTATTTCCTATAAGCACCCATTTCCCGGCGCCTATGGGTTGTTAGCATAGACATACAAACAAGGTATAGGTACACCCCGGGGAGAACTTACCACCACGCAATGAAGTCCACTGTTCGCACATCAATCCCAAGCTCAGTCAATGCCTTGGTAGACAGATGTGTATCATAAGGCCGTACGACACTCGAATTGGGATCATTGCCCTGCTTATTGGGGATCATTCCGGGAATGGCCACACCCATCACCTTGGCCAACTTCTGACAAATCTCATACTTGGTCATACGGTCCTCGGACGTAAATTGCAGGATGTGAGGGAAGTCCTTCCGCTTCTCCTTCTCGCGCAGGTACTTGATGACAATGTCCCGACACACGCGCGCCACGTCCTCGGTGTTGGTTGGGTACCGTATGCCCCAGTCGTCCATTTTCACGCCGGCGTTTTCATCCGTAGCCTTTGTTACTGCGTCGATGAGGGTGTTGATCGCGCTCTCCGAGTTATTCTTGGCGGTGCCGTACAGCACCGGCACGCGCAGCACCACGCCCATGCCTGAGGCACTGGTCTCTTCTAATACGGCCACCTCGCCATCACGCTTCAATTGCCCGTACAGATTCGGTGGCTTGGTCTCGGCATTGGCCTCGTATGGTGCCTCGCCTTCGGTGCCGGGGAAGACGTAGTCGGTCGAGATGTAGATGAGGAAGGCGCCGCGAGCTTGGCATTCCTTAGCCAGTGCTCGAGTGGCATCGACATTGACCTTGCGGGCTTGATCTGGGTGCTGGTCACATAGGTCCGGGGACCTGTTTGCGGCGCCTGTGAGCTGTCAGTCTATGATGGGGTATCAAGTCAGCCAATTAACTAGCTTACAATGGATGACAATCTGAGGCCTAGGCATAGTTCAAAGGTGATTAATGTCTATAATCAAGATCTAAATGGAATATACATACTTGACTTCATCGAACAGCATTCGGATATCCTCCTCCTTCTCCAGGTCGGCCTTCAAGATAGTAGGCGGGGCAGGGCGGGTGAATCCCTGGCCAACAACCAACACGCCCGAGTGCTGGAAGGTGTTGAAAACAGAACGGCCGAGCAAGCCACTGGCTCCAGTAACAAGAACGTTAGATGTCATTTTTGTTGTAGATATGGGTTAAGGGAGGAAGATGGGGAGGATTTCCTTTCTGAAACCGCGGGACCAACTGTGACGTAACTAACTTCTCCCAGTGGATATAACAGTGAGGACATAATTAAGCCACCTATGTAGACAGGCAACACATGTGGATTCACTCAATTCGATCAATTGAATCAATTCCAGTCGGTTCTGTGCTTTACACACGTTAAGATATGCCATATGATACTAGG